ACACCCTCTCACACCCTCACGCTCACTCACTCGTGCCTCTTCTCAGCCCGTCTCAGGCCACCCTCCGTCAGTTTTTTTTTTTTAATTCCCTCAGCTTGAGTCGGACCTTCCTTCAGCTGTGTCAGATCCCTCTGTCTGTGTCAGGCCTCCCTCCACCCGTGTCAGCCGCTAATTCCGGGCTTATGTCGGTACGAGCCCTACCCGTGTTCACCTAATGACAACACATCCCCGCACTAAGAGAAAAACCACCGCCGCCAACGACTGACGCCCGCACAAAGCCGGAAGAGACGGCGATGGTACTGCCACCCGGCGGTCGTGATAGGAACTTCACAAAGATGAGCTTCGTTGAATCGAGCTGGGAGATGAGATACCGCATTTGTGTGGGTGGGCAAAAGAGATCTCAATAAGGACTGCCTACGAACGGCCGTTAATTTCGAAAAGGTCGCCTAGCATAAAATGAAAGCGAAAGTTTGATTTATGCCGCAATCTATTTCAGGCGTTTGGTTATTTCACAGCCAGCATCTCACAAATGGACTCAGGACATCAAACAAGTAACTTCTATCATCGGCTGGATTGACGCTATTCATCATCGAACAGTGGCCGACCAAATGCAATATATGAAGTTTTGGACCACCCACTTCAGCCAGGCCGTCTGAGGCAATCCAAGCACGCTCTGAACAAATGAGAGGTCGGATGCGGGCGGGTCCCGCGGATCAGGGTCCGCTGAATCAGAACATGCCCCGGGGGGGGGGGGGGCGTTCGGCAAGGGGGAAGGCGGAGCCGGTCGCCGTCACTCGCACAAAGCGCGACGGCTGGGCTGACGCAGCCAGCCACATTTAAGAACGCTGAATGAAGCGACCGTAAAACATCCGAGAGCTCTACGCAAAAACAGGGCTTGGTTGCAGAAAAACGCCTTGTCAAATGTATTGCACAAAATATCAGGAAAGGGAAACAGAACATTCGGAATTTATTTGCTAAAAACAAAGCTCTTTGCTACCTTCAAGCACCAAACCAAACCAGCAAGACACCAAAGCTGAGTCCAGTAATTGATCAGCCGAAGTCAGCCAATGACGAAACCACGATAAACTTGACCAGACCTAACCAGTACGAAATACCAAGGCCAGGCCAAACCCATGCCAGATCGGACCAGTATCAGACCATTAGCATTTAGCGCACACCACGCCAGATCAATATTAGACAAACCAGAATCGACCAGGCCAGACCAGGTCCTGGAACAGTGAGGGTGGACTGGGAAGCCCCTGCTGACAGGATCGCTGACAGGACCGACAGCGAGCTACGGAGCAGCCCTACGTGACCCGTCACACAGCATAGCTAATGCTACCCCGCCCTCATGGCACCAGTGAGCATAATGTGGAGCCCAGACATGCATGGCGGAAGCACAGAAAGTGCTGGCATATGATGTAAGATGTTGGAGAAGACCAGCAAGATCTAACAGGGCTTTGAGCAGCATATGTTCGTTCCGTTTTCAGTTTCAAAACCACACCGTCTATCACAGTGGCCGCCAGAGAAGTCCACCCCTGCACGGCCGAGTTGGTGTGTCGGTCTGATGTCGGAAGCCGACAGTCGACAGGAAGCAGGCCTGGGCGCACCGCCTTTCAGACTGTGGCGGCCCGTTCCGGTGCGATCCTGTTGGTTTTGGCAGGTGGGGACCCGGGGTGGGTGCGGATGGAGCTGGGAATGTACCGACGGGTCACGGGAGGTTACTGGCAGGTCACTGGAGAAGGAGAAGAGGCAGAACCGACTCTGGCTGACGGGAAAGTCTGACCAGGGATTCTAAAAAAAAAAACAATCAAAACGATCGGAAAAGACATTGCCACTTTTCCACATTCACCAAATCCCAATCATGCCATAATAATTCCTACGCGAGGAAATCGCAGATGCAACGAAGACAACACAGACTCTAGAGAAGGTATTCGAATCAACTCCCTTCATAAAAGCCATGATTAAAGTCCAGCACATAGCCATCACTCACACATGAGCTTTGCGACGCCCCAGCCTTCAGCAGTCAAAATCGTGATGAGCCTTCCTTAACAGACCTCACAAATCTGCCTCCGGTCTTTCATCGGTCTGCCGCGGCTGTCCGATCTGTCCAAACTGTCACAGAGCTGACACAGCTGCTCAGCTAAAGACCCGACACCAAGGGCTACCGGCCACGTTCGTCACAGTCAACAATGATGCCTCGGTCAGAGAACGTGTCAAACACAGACAGCCACCAGTCGCGACCGATGAATCAGCCGCGTCACTACGAGGCAGTCCCATGACAACTGTCGGACCGAATCTGAGTCACCCCCGGCCGCAAAACACTTCCCGATACTCAGCAAACAAACATCGTGTTCTAGCACCAACCAGGGCAGCCACTCGGCCCGGGATTATAAACACAGTGACTGGCAGCGGCCGTTCGATGGCGAGCCCGTCCGGGCCCTGGGCGGACGACGAATCGATAGGCGACTCGATGGAGCGGTTGTAAGGTCTCGGGGTCGCACCGGACGAGCGGACAGCATGACGTTCACAGCCCGCCCGGCTGATGACGAAAGAAGCCTCAATTAAAGCGACGCATCACGGCAGTTGCCTATCCGCTGTGTTGAATCCATCCATAATTATGAATGCTGACCATTTGGCTGTTTCTACTTCGCTTATATTTAACCCTCCACCAGTCTTTGAGCTGATCTCCGTGTTTTCACCACCCTGGCCTCTTGATGTCCAGCGCACCTCAACAAATTCCACATCCACTGCCTCCCACCTCAACTATCTGTCTCCACACTTGTCTCTGCCCGGCACACCCTTGTCTCCACTCCTTCCCCACTCGTCTCCACCCACTCCACCCATGTCTCCCCCCGACTCCCTCTCGTCCTGCGGCCGTTAGCACTGCGGGGCTTCTGGTCTCCATCGATTTGGTCTGAAGCGCTCCTCTGTGCCGTATAATCAGACCATAACCCCCGCCAACGTCCCAGCTCGGTCGGACGAGAGAGGGTGGGGGTCGGGAGCTGAGGCCAGGGGACCACTCCATCATTGGGTCTGCAGCATGGGTATCCCAAGAAGACGCTGTAAATAGACGCTGCGGCGACGGTTTGGGAGTCAGGGTAGAGCCGTGAGTCGGTGGGCGGACAGAGAGGTAGAGTGGTGAGCAGACGGCGGTAGAGTGGAAGAACAGACAGTGGCAGAGTGAGAAGCAGACTGTGCTAGAGTGGGGGAGTAGACACAGAGGCAGAGTATACAGAGGCAGGGCGAGGACATTGTCAGAGGAAGAGGACACACTGTTCTGTGACAGCAAGAGAAGAGAAACAGACGGAGGCAGAGCACAGGAGCTGTCGGAGGCTGAGAAGATGATGGCTGGGGTCGGCATTCAGAACATAAAGGTCACCAGACCGTCTGACCTCAATGGACGGAGCGATGGCATATGCTAGCAGCGTGGGCAGGGTAAGGTCCAGCGGAACCGTGAGCTAAACGAAGCTAAGAGCCAAATAAAGCCAGGATAGAGCTGAGGCAACTCACAGGGCTGCTGAGAACCAAACGCAGACGAGGTAGAGCCGAGAGACAAACATGCAGTTGAATCGAGTCGACATAAAGACACAGCGCATTAGGCCGAAGGTGAAATAGAATGAGGCCCGCTATACGGCCCACGGCCGAGCGGCGATACTCAGCTGAGCGACAGCGACTGATCAATAGGCCTGTTCAATCGAGTCGGCCGTTAGTGGATGTCATCGAATCAACGGACCAACAGCAGTTCCAATCGATCAACAGCAATTCCAGTCGCAGACCTCCACTAACGCCCAAGGTCAATGCCGGCATTCATTCCACCTCTTTTCGCCACAGCTAACATGATAATAGTTCGATAAAAGTACACCACATATGCATTCTTTTACCAAAAACACACTAACATTTTGTAAAGATCTCTTTTTGCACTTCCAAAATATAGCTGATAATCGGGCCCGCTCCCCCGGAGACAGGCTGGTCGTTGACCCTCATCCATAATACGGCGTCGGTGTCTCTGAGCGCCCCTTATCTGCGCCAGGTCGACCCGGAGAGCTGTCCTCGGAGACCCCATTGATCGCGGAGCTCGGTGTCGTGCCACCGCCTGCGCTGCCGGAGCTCCTTGGGTCGGAGGGTAGGGACCGCACGACCACCCACGCACGCACGGCACCGGGTCAAGGTCGAGGTCAGGGCCGAGCTCACCGCAAACAACGTCGACAGGTAGATGGAGGAGATTGTGGGTTCAGAGCGGCGCAGTTTTAGCGCCGGCTATCTAAAATGGTGTCACACAACGACATAGAGAATTCCGTCAGCATTTTCGCTCCTGTGTATTTTGGTCTCATGTCAAATAGTCTTTGAGAACTCTGCTGAGATTGCCGACTGGTCAAAATTTACAAAAATATGATGATAGGTTAAATCAAAACGACCAACCGATTACTGGAAATAGTCGGAATGATAGGAACGAAGCCGGACCTAATCTCCCGCACATCAATATTTGAGATGCTATCGAGCATATGCAATTTTCAATGCCTTTGAAGTATGTAGGCTGCACATCAATTGCAGTTATTGGTTCGATTTCCGGAAATGGATTCTGGGTTCATATCCGGAGAACATGATAGCAGTAATGGAGAGGATATTAATGCAGCGTATCCAGTGGCCATGACAAAGAGCACTGCCGCGCGACAAGTCTCAAATAGGGGATAGCCAATGTAAAATGTCACATTTCACGCTGCCCGCAGATTGCACAGTCGTCTAAGCGTACGGCTATGAAACGTTTGTGGATATTGTCCAAACAAGCACATGTGGCCTCTGCCATAAGCCAGTTTGCTAAATGCTAGTCGTACCGGACAAAAACATCCGAGTTCGAGGAATCAGTAGTCAGTGCCGTTCCTCATCTTCCAACCCTTCCAACTCCATCCTGAGACATTCACATTCACATGACATTTCCTTGACATTCCACTTTCATGACATTTCCCATCCCCAACTTCATTCCCGCCGCCGGAACTCACCTTATCTCTGAGCATACTCCTGATCCTGCCGGCCTGGTCCTTGAAGCGCTGCAGGCTCAGCTCCAGCTCCAGACACCGCTCCTGCCAGTTCACCTCGTCACTCGTCCACACGAACGGCGTGTCGGGAAACTCAGCATCAGCCAGCTCCGACAGCACCGACGGCAGAGACGAGGCCGTCGACACCGACATGCGGGTGTCGGAGCCGATGCTGAGCCCGTCGAACACTGCGAATGGGTCGGGTCGCACGGCGCCCGCCGGTTCAGGAGGGTAGTCGGGAGCGTAGGAGTGTCGTAACGGTGCCGGCGGCGGTGGAGAGTGCCGGGCGCCCGATGACGGGTACGAGAATGTCGAGTGCGGGCGACGCGATGATTTTCCGGCCGCGTCCGCCTCGGCCATTTTGGAAGTCACTGGAGGTCACTTGATGTCACTAGAGGTCACTAGAAGTCACACCGCCGCACTGGGTCACGACGGTTCACTAGGTTAGGTCACAGTAGACCGCGCTGGGTCACGACGGTTCACTGTAGGTTAGGTTACAGTAGACCGCGCTGGGTCACGACGGCTGCGACGGCCGTTGTGTGTCCCAGTGATGCGGCAGGTCACCGGAGGTCACAGCGGGTCACAGCTGGACACTGTCCACTGTCCAGTTTGTTCACAGAAGAAGCCGCCAGGCTATGATTGCCACGTGCCAATCCGCCATCTGAAACAAACAGAAATGACATTCAGCGCGTATTCACTCAGAGTAGTTCGAGTAGATAACAACGTTCAGGACGAAGCCAACTCGGGACTGCACGAGTCTCTTTTTCCAAACTACGCATATCGACACCCCTCTCCTGTTTGCCATAAAGGCAATAAAACATCTGACCGACTAGGCGATAAATTCAGTACTCTCACCGGCTGAAATAGTCACAAGTTCACTATTTTAGGATGATTGGCAAGCCGGCATTGCACACAGGTGAGCCCGCTCAAAAACGGGGGAGGATCCGACATCATAATCAAGTTTGGTAGCAAAGTTCAATACAGGCGTGTGACCTTTATCTCATGCCGTACGAAAATAATTAATGTTTCTAAGCTTTGTGCAACAATGAAATAAAGGAAAATGTGCGAATATCTTATGGTCACAGCATTGCATGCATATTGCATATACCATACTACGTATCTGAATAATATTATATTCTTATTTTCATTCACGAATGAAAATGGCAAATGCTGGGTGATATTGATCGTCCCAAAGCTTGCCTCGATGTGATCGTGCCAAAGGCTAGGATTTTCACCGGTGTACCTATTTGAATACAAACTCTGGTGACTCTTTCGGCGTAGAGCGTTGACCCCTCACCTCAGCTCCACACATGTCCCTGTTGCCCAGTAACACGCCCCTCCACTATCAGGTATCCCAGCGGGCTCTGTCGGCGCGTGACACCGCCGGGGGCGTGGGCCGCCCACCCACACTGCGGGGTGCGGTTCAAATCTCCGGGAAACGGGCAGCCACCCAGTCAGTTGGCTGTATTCAGGTCAGCCAGCCGCCCAACCACCTACACTTCACACTCACAGGCCAGGAAGGTCATTGCCAGCGCTGAGATGGTCATAACTCAGACTGCGCGCAGGGCCGGATCGTCATGATTAATGAGAGCGCATATTGTCGCGAAACGACATTTGCCAGCTTCGGTCATTAATAAGTAACGCGGTATTTCAGTCATCTATTGGCCAAGAGCTGTGATACGTCACTACATTGCTGCAATGCAGATGGAAAAGTCACGATAAGTCCGAGTTATATAAATATTTAAGTTCCACCTGTTGGAAGTGGCAGCTCAATAGTCCGATAGCTCAATAGCTGATGGTCGGAGAGCTTCGCTCGTCGTTATTAGATACCAGATAGGTGACGCACGACGGTCAGTGCGCTCCACAGTCCGCGAATGGTGAAGTGCGTGATGTTCCCGGTGCACCAGACATTCAGCGACCCGTATAAGGGCAGTGCTCAGCAGCCAGCAAACGAGGCCGAATCACCGGGAAAAAGCAATAAGCCAGAATGACGAGTCGTTGGGCGCATATACGGAAAGCAATGCGCAGTGCGAGGAGATGAACAGATCGGTACATAAAACAGCTGAAGAGCTGGCAAACGAATACTCATTGCTCAAAGGGCTGCAGTCGTTGCAATAAGTGTTTACTGTTTAGGTTTCACCAGTTTATATTGCATCAAGAAACCCTTCATCGAACGTAAGCCAGCTGCGCGTTCCGCAGTGTCCAGCCGACAGCACATCAATAATTCCCGGTCCAGTTCAATACAACAACCCGCGTGCCTGCACGACCGACCCAGACGACTGCCGTCAGGATCCGGAGTCACCGTCAATAGCCTAGAAATCGACCGATTGACGCTACAAGGTCGAGACAGCACAACATTCCCTACTCCAGCAAACGTCCACTACGAGCGCAACCCGACCCGTGCTGCGGCTATAAAATGAACGGTTACTGAGCCAATTACTCGAATGGGCACGACCCCGCCCCGAAATAATTGCGCTCGCACATGCACAGAGTGATGCAGGTTTTCCGGTGCGCAGAGTCGGATTTCGTGCCAGGAGGCGGTACAGAACTGCACACCGAGGTAAACTGAATAACGATGGCGTGTAGGACGGTCTGTAGAGGACCTAACCATAGGACCTGTCAAGTTTAGCACCGGGTCACATCTGTCATGTAGGTAGGTTTAACCGGTATTCGTAGCCGTCAGCCTGGATACGATAAGACGGGTCATTTGATGGAGTGACCCACACTTCAGGGAATTAGCCCAATGAAATCTAGTAAAAGCCTGAAATTGTATCACTGAATACGGTATTTGAGTAATAATGAATACAGAGCTCGAAGTACCGGCTTCAAACAAGCAATTATTTTAAGTGATTGAAATGAATAGCAATGGATTGCAACTTTAAACCATCCATCTAATTTGGTAATCAAATAGCATCAATTGTATCGTATCCTCCATTGGTTTATTTCGATTAGACATCAATGTATCACCCGTACCTAGCTACCTTCTAAGCGGTCTCCTTTACTGGCCTCACCATGGGGAATAGTCCATGGGAGCCCGCTTTTTCATTAGTGTGCAATATTGACCAGTGTGTGATACAACATTTGAATCAATCGCAGAAATTTAACCCAAGTTGTACTAATCCCTCGGCCACTGATCTCGGTTCAAATTCAGCCTCATGGACAGTGGAAATCCACCTCAGGTCACTGACCCCAGACGCGTTGAGCGAATGTTTAAACAATAAATGCCCCATCACCGCCTCGTGAGTGGGAGCAGCGCGTTATGATCCACCGGGAAAACTCGGATGGCTGACCACAGAACCCATTCCCAAGCGTTCTCAGTCGAACTGAGGTGCGTGAGGTCATCCCATCCACCATGCGGTAGAATTATTCCACTGAACATTGGCTGTCCAGTTGCAGTGGTCAGGACCATGGGTGGAGAACCTGCCCCGGCCACCCCGGCCGTGGCCGGGGTAACTTTCAGCCTACCCCGGCGCGGCCGGGGTAACTTTTCTACTCTTGTAAATCCTAAAAGCTGTCTCCATACGAGAAAAGAAAACTCACGCTCTTCGAATGTTGACTTCCATGGGCGTAATATTGCAAATCAGGTAGGTATTTACCATTTACTTAACTTGCCATAATCTCCAACCCTAAGACCCGCGTGTGGTCGCCAATGCCAAGATTGCTCTCAAATCCTGTTCAGTTTCGAAATTTTGGCGCGCCTTCGGCGCACTTTTTCAAAACTACTGCTTGACCTCATTGCCTCCAACTGACCTGCCACCAACCGCAACCACACCCGTTTATGAGCGTACCCGTCAGGGTGCTCATAAACACCGAGCGGCCATCATGCTTCGAACTCGGACTGTTGTAACCGGGCCGCGTGCTCTCGCCACGCGGAATCCAACGCTCTAGCAACTGAGCTACGAGACCGGGACCGGTCGATATTCCTGGATCGACTCCCTGTTTGTATTATAAGAGCCGCCCAACATTGAAAAAGGCTACGCCCGTGGATGTCAGTGACCTATTTTAGTGCTTTGCTTGGTTCGATCTGTCAATTTCTCTGTAAAGCTTCTACTATGGTGAGTTGTCTTTTTGTAGCTATTTTGAGACACAATAAAAAGCTGAAAACGCAACATTTAGGTACTCAAAATGGCATATGGTTTGGTTTGGGTTCGGTGTGAAATTGGAAGTTTAAGCAAAAAGAAATAATAATTTAAAAGGAAATTGCCTTTTCGATCATTCCAAAAATGTTACGAATAATACGGTGTCGGATACAACGCTCATCCTTGAGCAAACACAGCACCCTATTCCATGCGTCAGAATAGGGGTTTGATGATGACCGTTGAGAACAACGTGAGTATATCGTCTTCCCGCGACTATCGGTCGCCGGCCGGGGTAACTTTTTCAAACATTCTCCACCCATGGTCAGGACAGTGGCATAAACGCTCCTCGCTAGACAGGGATATTTACCACACAGCAGACGGTAAGTGGTCTATACTGGTCGCCTTCTCTGGGGACCAAACTTCTCCTAGAGCTCGACTGAAAACAGCTGGTGATTGTATCAACTAGCGAACTCCTGAAACAAATAAATCTGTAGGATTTGGGAAAACCTATCGCAGGCATCACAACAGCGCTAAAAGTATTCCCATTTCTGCTGCCAGACGCATTACGAGCAATGAGACCACTTGGCGTCCGCTGGGAAGTGAAACACTAAAGACGGCGCCGGCGCTGCGTGAGCGCTGCTTGCATGCCGTGATTGCCTTCGCACAAGCAAACAGAGTGCGGGCAAGCCAAACAAACAGTTCCAAGTGGCCGCCGACGCTCGAATGGTTGGAGCATCGATGGCGGCGCGGAAGTGGCGATAGCGACGCAATGGGGGAGCAGCGGCGATGCTGCGCTGGAGAAGGAAAGCCGCTATGGCAGCAAGGGAGGAGGAGAAGAAATGCTGAGACAAGCAGTTGGGAGCTGGTACGCCACCACAGCACGCTGACGCTGCCCGCGCCCCGATCGATCCACTCGTGGATCCTGAGAGGACGATTATCACCACTCGACACGAGGAACAGCCCCGTCCAGCGAAGTGAGCGAAGGGTCGTTGCCGTCAATGGCGCGGCCATCCACTCGGCACGTCAGACGGCTGACACGCGGGGGCTCGTACTGTCGCAGATAGCGGAAGAGCAAGCCTCCCTCACGTCAGATAGCGACAACGCATGACTCCAGTATTACGACAAAAAGTGGATAACGCAGAACTCCCGTGCCACGTCACCCATTGGCAAAGAACATGTCCGTACAACCGCAAACCCATGGCGATGGACCTCCTCATCCACCCTCATCCACAACCCATCAACTCAATGCTCAAAGTTCCACCAAACCTCCCTTCCATCCAAAACCTATCATCTCCAGAACCTACCAAACTCCAAGCACCCACCATGACCCATCATAATCACCCATCAAGATCTCCCATCACCTTCACCACCTTTGTCCCTTTATTATGAGTATGAGTATGAGTATGAGTATGAGTTTATTGTAGAGACCATCCACGCAGTGGCTATTCTGATCTCACGTCAGATGATACATTACTAAAACACAGGATTAAAACACATACCTAAAACACCAGGCCATTACATTTTAAAAGTAAAGTAAATTAAGCAGTAGGCAAACACTATAAACACGTTAAACACCAGATAA